AGGATGATGGTGATGAGGATGAGGATGATGATGCTGATGATGATGATGTTTATGCTGGTGATGATAATGATGATTATGATGGTGATGATGATTATGATGATGATGATGATGGTGATCATGGTGATGATGACGAGGATGCTGCTGCTGATGATGATGATGATGACGATGCTGCTGATGATGATGAGGATGATTATGATGATGACGATGCTGCTAATGATAACAATGATAATGCTGATGGTGTTGATGTATGTTGATGATGCTGATGATGACGACGACAATGGTGTTGGTGATGATAATGATGACGCTGCTGATGCCGATGATGATGGCGATGCTTCTGCTGATAAAGCTGTTGCTTCTGCTGGTGATGATGCTGATGATGATGCTGATGCTAATGATGATGCTGATACTGATGATGATGATGATGATGATGATGATGATGATGATGATGATGATGAGGATGGTGATGGTGATGGTGATGATGATGGTGATGGTGATGATGGTGGTGGTGGTGATGATGATGCTGATGATGATGATGTTGATGATGCTGATGATGATGATTATGATGATAATGCTGCTGATGATGCTGATGATGCTGATGCTGATGATGATGATGATTGTGAGGCGGAGGGAGAGAAGGAGGAGGAGAAGGGGGAGAAGGAGGAAGAGGATGAGGAGGAGGAGGGGGAGCAGGAGGAGGAGGGGGAGGAAGAAAAGGCGGAGGAGGCTGGGCAGGAGGAGCAAATGGAGGAGGAGGAACGTTGCCAGGTGGACTGCCAGCTCGACAGCCGCACTGGCGCCGCGGCCGCGGCTGACGACGGCGACGGGGACCACGGCGAGATGCCGCCCGACGGGCCCCCCGCCGTCATCATGGTGAACCGCGGGGCCGGCGAGGACCCGCCGCCTTTGGGCGGGCGGCGCTGGGTGGCCACCGAATATGGGCTGATCGCGGGATGCAGGAAGGTGTCTGGGCCACTCTCCCGCAACCCCGGCCTTGAGGGCCACAGTGGCCTTTCGGGCCAGGGTGGCCCTCAAGGCCGGTCTAGCTCCTCGCGCTCCCTCATCCCTCTCCTTCTCTTCTTCCCCCTCGTCCTCCTCCTCCAATTTGTTCTCAAAAACAGTTCCCCCTGCCTCACCCCGAGCCGCGTCTGTACGGAGGGCCGGGCGTTTCGCTTGAGACTTCTTCACCATCTTTGACGCTTTCGTTAAAAATGCACCAGTGTTTCGCAGATGGACGGCGGGCCGTTTTCAAAGTGCGGTTCTCGCCGTAGCGCCGCGTACACTCGTCTTTCAAACTTGCAAGAGCTTGACGGATGGGTGGCGGGCCATTTTCAAAATGCGACTCTCGCCTCAGCACCCCCCCGCACATTCGTTGCTAAAACGTTGCAAGAGCTTCGCGGATGGAGGGCGGGCCGTTTTCACAATGTGACTCTCGCATCATCGCCGCGCACACTCGGCTCAAAAGCTTGCAAGAGTTCGCAGGGATGGAGGGTAGGCCGTTTTCAAAGTGTGGTTCTCGCCTTAGCGTTGCGCATGCTCCTTTTTTTCACAAGTTCACAAGAGTTCCACGGACTGAAGGCGGGTGGTTTTCAAAGTGTGGCTCTCGCCTCAGCCCCGCGCCCATCCGTTTTTCAAAATGTTCAAGAGCTTCGCCGATGGACGGCGGCTCCTTTTCAAACGGTGGTCCGCCTTAGCGCCGCGCGCATTCGTGGTTCACGTCCCAGAAATGGTGTTCTTGGGCGATGTTGGACTGTCAGAGCGCAACGGTCACGAGGATTCGCGGTCTTGAAGTCCTAAGGAGTGGCGGTCTGGTGCGATCCCAAATCTCAGGACCTGCGCCGCTGAAGTCTCAGGACTAGCTGCTCGGAGGGAGGGTTTGCTGCAACACCGTGGGTGCATCTTGGGTTTGCACTGGTCCTCCTCCTCCTCCTCCTCCTCCTCCTCCTCCTCGTCGGTCGGTCGGTCGGTCGGTCGGTCGGTCGGTCGGTCGGTGGGTCGGGCGCGTGGGGGGACCAGGGGATCGAGACTTGCGCAGGAGAGTGGCCCTGCAGGGGGCCTGCACGGCCATAGACTGCCACCGCTGGCCCCCAAAAAAGAGCGCACGAGGGGTGCGCGCTCCTCCCCCGAGGGCTCGCCGCCCGCGCGCGCGCCGCCAGGAAAGACGAGGGGGTCCCGAGGGGAACGTGTCCTGAGGCCTCTGTCGTTGCCTTCGGGCTCCCCGGGGCCCTCCCGAGGCCCCGGGGCCCTCCAGGAGCAGCTCGGGAGGAGGAGCGGCTCCCCTGGAGGCGAGGATGTCTCTCTTTCCCTGCCCGAGGGGGTCCGGGGCTCCCTCCGCGGGCCCCTCCGCCCGCCGCGCGCCGCGGCCCCCCCCCCCCCCCCCCGCGAGGGCATGTTCCTGCGCCTGCTCATCGAGCGCAACGCCACGTCCTCGCGCGACCTGTGCCTCCCGAGGGCCGAGGCGCCCCCCCCGCCCCCCCCCGGGAGAAGGGGGCCAGGAGCAGGGCCCGGGGCGCCCTCGCTCCGTGTACAGTGCAGGCACGGCGGGGGGGCGTTCTGGTGGGCCGCTCTCGACCTCGCTTGAAGTCGGGCCTGTCCCTCTGCAGGGGGGAACATTCACAAATGGTCAAAAGCTAGTCTGGGGATTGTTTTAGGGGTATTTTTTTGATCATTTTGGGGCATTCTTGGAGTATTTGCTTTCGTCGAAAATCCCCCTGTAGGGGGGCATGCCCGACTTAAGCCTCGCTGGGGCCCCCGCAGAGGGGCGTTTCCTTTTTGGTTCGGGGTTCGAGGTGCTTCTGGCGGTTGTCGTCGGTCCTCGGCGGCCATCTGCAGCCCTTGGGGGTGCTTGGCAGCAGCGGCGCCTCGCCGAGACCGTTCCGGGGATGCTCGCATCGTCCCATGCGTGTCGCCGCCCGAGGCCATGAGAGCCAATTAGGGCCCGGAGAAGCGACGCCACGCACAGAGGGGGGAAGGCTTCTTCGTCCTCCTCGTCCCTCCTCCTCCTCCTCCTCCTCCTCTCTCCTCCTCCTCCCTCCTCCTCCTCCTCCTCCTCCCCTCCTCCTCCTCCTCCTCCTCCTCCTCCTCCTCCTCCTCCTCCTCCTCCTCCTCCTCCTGGCCACGCCCGAGGGTGGAGGGCGGAAGGGCTTCTTCGGAGCACCCCTGCCTCTCGGAGGGCGCGGGCCTTGCCTGCAGGTACAGGGCCTCCATCTCCCCATGTGGCCTCCTCCCCCCCCTCGTGTTGCTCCCATCGTACTTGAGGACCACATCCTAGAAACAATTTCGAGCACCCAGAAAAGTGTCGAAAGAGTGTCGAAAGAGTGTCGAAACAATGTCGAACGAGTGTCTCCCAGGGCCCGACACGTGAAAACCATCAAGTTTCGGTTGTATTTTTCTGGCACTCGAAATTCTTCCTGGTGATCCAGGCTAAAGTAGGTTGGAACATCATAACGGCCCACCTTTGTGGGAGGTGCCCGTCCTTCCGTGATCGCGCTTGCGCGGGGCCGCTGGCTGCCGGCCTTCTGTCAGCAGCCCCCTGGCCCCACCAGTACAAAACCCCTTCCCCCTGCCCTTAAGTCGGGCCTGTCCCTCCAAAGTAGTCAAACAATCGTCTGGGCACGAATGTTACAGCATGCTTGTCAATTTTGGAAGTCTTTCCTGACTCTCTTTAATTTTTCGCCCCCAAAACCCCCTGCGGGGTGACAGGCCCGACCTCAGCCTTCCCTTTGTCAGGAGGAAAAGAATCACACACACACACACAACTAGTCTTCGATTTCCCAGAAAATATGGGGAAATATGGGAAGTGGGTGGGAAGACAAACCCACAAAATATGGGAAACTATGGGGATCATTTTATTCGTGTGTATTTATTTGTGTGTCCTTGAGCCCCTTCACTTTGGTGCGCCCCCAGCGGCCAGACCCCGGGACCGAAGCAGTCTGCCCCTGCGGGCAGGGGGTCCAGAGTTCGGGTGGAGGACGTTCAAGAAAGCGTTGGCGCTGAGAGCTGCGCGGCTGTCGCCGCTCGTCGTCCCGGACAGGATCGCGCCGTTGAGCAATGCAGGACGGGAGGCGTTTGCCACTTCCATCCCCGGGGGGCCATCGCCAGGACTCGGGGCCGTCAACAAAACGACTCAGGACTTGAGCAGGGGCCGACCGTCCTGGCATGTCGATAGGCCTACCACGACATGTTCTTAGAACCCCCAACATGTTCCAAGAACAAGCACAGTGTTCTCAGAACAGAAGCCCGATGTGCTAAAGCAAGACCGTCCCAGCCAGACATGTTCTGAGAACAGCTCGTGGAAACCGCAAAAGAGGCTCTTAGAGCAGTCTTTGGTGGGCCTATACAGGCGAGCCGGGACGCTTCGCCACCGCAGGAGGAGAAGGAGCAGGAGGAGTAGGAAGGAGAGAGGAGGAGGAGCAGGAGGAGGAGGAGGAGGAGGAGGAAGAAGGAGGATGGAGAAGGAGATGGAGAAGGAGGAGGAGGGGGAGGAGGAGGAGGAGGGAGGAGGAGGAGGAGGATGAGGAGGAGTAGGAGGAGGAGGAGGCCGGTCCTGGGGGGCAGGGTCGGGACTTGGGAGCCGCCGTCCTGACAGCAATCGGGGCGTCGGGGGTCTGGGCTCGCGGGGTGTGCTGCAGGCGCTGGGCCGCCGGGGCTGGACTCCCTCCTCCTCCTCCTCCTCCTCCCCCTCCTCCCCCTCCTACCCTCCTCCTCCCTCCTCCTCCCTCCCCCCCTCCTCCCTCCCTCCCCTCTCCTCTCCCTCCCCTCCTCCTCCTCCTCCCTCCTCCTCCTCTCCTCCTCCTCCTCCTCCTCCTCCTCCTCCTACCCCCTCCTCCCCCTCCTCCCCCTCCCCCTCCTCCTCCTCCTCCTCGCGCCGCGCCGGGGGGCGCGGGGCGGGCGCCGATCGGGGGCAGCCAGGAGCGGGGTGGCGACTCGACTCGGGGGGGAGGATTCGGGAGGGGAGGAAGCACACAGGCACAATGCATCGTCGATCCCCAGGAAGGGATGGGAAGGTAGGGGCCCTGGGGGAGGGCGAAAGCCCAGGAACATACATGCATACATACATGCATACACACATACATCTAAACACATACCTACCTACCTACCTACCTACCTACCTACCTACCGACCGACCGACCGACCGACCGACCGACCGACCGACCGACCGACCGACCGACCGACCGACCGACCGACCGACCGACCTACCTACCTACCTACCTACACACCCACCTACCTACCTACCTACCTACCTACCTACCTACCGGCCGACCTACCTACCTACCTACCTACCTACCTACGTACCTACCTACCGACCTACGTACCTACCTACCTACAAACATACAAACATACATACGTACATACATGCATACACACATACACACAAACACACATACATACATGCATACATACATACATGCATGCATGCACGCATGCACGCATGCATGCATACATACATACATCCATACATACATGCACACACACATACACATACACACACATGCATGCATGCATGCATACATACATACATACATACATACATACATACATACATACATACATACATACATACATACATACATACACACATACATACATACATACATACATACATACATACATACATACATACATACATACATACACACACATACAACCACACATACATACAAACATACATCCATACATACGTACGTACGTACATACATTCATGCATACACACATACATACATACATACATACATGCATACATACATGCATACATACATACATACATACATACATACATACGTACATAAACACATGCATGCATATATCCATACATACATACATACATACGCACACTTATACATGTGCATATATATAGATATATACAATGGGGACATCGGGGGGGTCCTGGGATTTCTGTGTCACATGTCCTTATTTGTGTGTCCCGGGGCCCCTTCAAGGATGCGTGCCATGGCTGGCGCCATGACGTTTCTTTTGATTTCGTGGCCCCCCCGTGCTGCTCTCAACACGTGCCCCGGCCCCCCACCCTCGGTCGTGCCGTTGCCTCGGGCCATGATCTGCTGCCCCCTCCCTCCTGGGCGCCGCGGAGCGCGGGCGAGCCCAGACTCAGACCTCTTTTGCGGGGGAAGCTCCTCGATCCTGTTGTTTCTGTGCAGTTTCGGCGTGTGGATGCCCTTTCCAGTCTCAAGTCGGGCCCTGTCCCCCTACAGGAGGAGCATTCAAAAAAAACAGCCTGGGGACATTTTTTAGTTTTCATCATGTTTGGACCTTGTTTCATCATTTGATTGTTCTGCACAGTTCTGCTTTGATTGGAAGTATTTCTGCACCTGATTTTTAGATTATGCTTTGACTATGTCTGCATATGTTTCCTTTTTATGTTTTGACTAGTTCTATTTTTCGCTCCAAACTCCGCCTGTAGGGGGGACAGTCCCGACCCAGGAATTCCCGCCTCCTGGGCCGCCGGAGGGCGAAGTCCGCGGCGAGAGCCAGGTCCCGCCGGAGTGTGCGCCGCGAGGGTGCCGAGGAGGAGCCCGAGGCGGGCTGGAGCCCGAGGTCCGACGCTCCAAAAAAAAGTCGGCGCGGGCGGTTTTTGCCCGTTGTCGGCCTCCGGGGGCCCTATCGCCGGGCCTCGGGGGCGTCAGGAAACGGCGCAGGACGAAAATCGGGCCGGGCGAAATGGGGGGATTGGGAAAGGGGGGGTTACGAAATTTGCTGCATGCAGCTGGTTTCAGCTTCACCGAGGGGCCCATTCCTCGATACATGGGCGCCTCCCGGCGCCGGGAGGCGCCGCGAAAATCAGCTACGCGAGCTGATTCTCAAACCCCCCCTTTGCTATCCCCCCCTTTCGCCCGACCCGAGAAAAACCGGTCCCGGGGAAAGGGTCGGGACGTCCAGGGACGCCGTCCTGCAAAACGGCGGGGCGTCGCATGTCTGGGTCTACAGGAGGACTGTTCAAGAGCAGTCTAAAATCGCTCGGGGGTCCTCTGTCGTGCTCTTTTGACTCTCTGTTTGGCTGCCTCTGTTGACCATGCTTTCTCTGTCCTCCGAAGTCCGCCTTTCGGAGGACAGGCCCGACCTGATTCTGGTGCCAGGGAGGCATGCCCAGGTCGAGGAGGTTGGGGGAGACAGACAAGCCCAGCACAAGGACTGCTGCAGGGAATGCCGTCTGGGGCTCCAAGCGATTCGCAGGCGGAGCAGCCCTGGCCGCGCAACTCCGATGCGGACCACAGGTCGGGCCGGCCGACACAGAAAAGCGTGTCAAGCAGGGAACAAGAGAGAGCGGGGAAGCGATGAGCCGAGGAGGGGAGGGAGGGAAGAGCGGGGGGAAGACCGACAGAGAAGGACAGACCGGGCCGACAGACGGGGAGACTGGGGGGGTGGGTGGGGACGGGGAGTCAAGCTCGCAGCCCGCAAGAGCAAGGGAGCACAGGGGCAGCGGGTGGGCAAGGAGAAGGACGGCGAGGCGAGGAGGAGGTGCCGAGAGCCGGAGCCCAGGGCAAGACGACGGGAGGCGGGCCGAGGGGCACCCCCGCGCGCTCGAGGCGTCAGGACAGACGGCCGGCTGCCCAGTCGAGGGTCGGGGCAGCGCGGGAACTGGGAGCGTGCGGCGAGGGTGGTCCTGGTCGCCCGCGGGGGCGCGGGGAGGACCGCGCTCACTGCCGTGCCTCGCGCCTCGCGTCCCGGGCCGGGCAGCCGGCTGAACCGACATGCGGAGCGGGTCGGCGCCCGGGCGCGGAGATTCGGGCACAGACGCACCGCGCACCGCGGTAAGAGGGACCGTCAGTAGCAGGCCTCCGCCACTTCCACGTGCGCTGCGCTGCGAGGAGCTCGGGGTGGCTCGAGTGCCCGATGGGGTCCGAGCAGACGGGGCTGGAGGATCGCGCCGCATCGACGATGCATCGGCGATGCAACAGAGACGCAGCTCGATGTGGGGCCCAATTTTCTCCACGCCGACGTCGCCGATGCATCGCCGACGTCGCCAGTGCATGGCTGACGGACGCATCGCCGATGCATCAGCGATGCATCGTCGATGTACCGGCGATGCGGCGAGATCCTCCGACCCCTTCTACTCGGACCCCATTCAGAAGGCCTCTGGATGATCCGGAGTCTTCGAAACCACGGGTGGCCAACTCGGGCGAGAACGAGTAGTGGCTGCAGATTGCCGGATCATGGCCACCTAGCCACCCTGCCAGAAGCCTTCGCTCCTCACCTCTGTCGACATACACGCTGAGGGGGATGCAGCAGCTCACCGCCCACCAAACCACCCCAACCCAACCCGAAGGCCCCGATTTGCCCTCCATTTCCAGTGGGGGTGGGTTCGGGGACCATCAAAAAACACATATGAGGCCAGTACCTCAGTACCCCCCCCCAACCCGAAATTCGAGTCTTCGGGTTGGGTTGGGGTGGCTTGGTAGGTCGTCCGCAGCAGTGCCACCGTGCACCTCGGCCCCTGCGCTGGCAGGGGCACGGCCCAGGCCCTCTCCGGCTGCAGCCCCGACGCGCGGCGCCACAAAGGCGTGGGGAGCCCCTGCTCTCGCTCCGCACGCGGGCCAGCGCGCACGCCCCGCACCGTGGACTTTGGCTTCCCGGCCGCCGGGAGGGGGAAGGGGCCGCGGAGCGGGAGCTCACGGCGCCGAGGGCCAGAGCACGGTGCCCCAAAAGACCACCTGCTCCAATTTTTTGGTGGAGCGTCGGATCTCGAGGTAGAAACCCACACTGCTGCAGGCCCGCGAGGTTTTCAAGGGTCGGCGCTGCACACGGCTGGACCCCCCCCCTCTCTCCCTTGCGGCGCCTCCGGCGCCAGCTCCCGGTGCGCCGGTGGCGCTCCAGGGGAAGGGCCCAGCGCCCGACCGACCCATGGAGTCCGCGCAGAAGCGCCGAGAGGTGCCACGGTGCTGCGCGTCTCTGGTCTTCCGGAGACTGGGGGAGGAGCGAGGAGGACGAGGAGCGAGGAGGAGGAGGAGGAGGAGGAGAAGTGAGGAGCGAGGCGACGGAGGAGGTGGAGGAGGAGGCGGCGGAGGAGGTGGAGGAGGAGGAGGAGAAGCGGGAGGGAGCGAGGAGGAGCGAGGGGGAGCGAGGGGGAGCGATGATGATGAGGAGGAGGAGGAGGAGCGAGGAGGAGGAGGAGCGAGGAGGAGGAGCGAGGAGGAGGAGGAGCGAGGAGGAGGAGCGAGGAGGAGCGAGGAGGAGCGAGGGGCAGCGAGGAGGAGCAAGCGGAAGCGAGCAGGAGCGAGGATGAGCGAGGAGGAGGAGGATGAGCGAGGAGTAGGAGGAGGAGGAGGAGGAGGAGGAGGAGGAGGAGGAGGAGGAGGAGGAGGAGGAGGAGGAGGAGGAGAGGGAGGAGGAGGAGAAGGACCAGTGTAAACCCAAGACTCGTCAACGATGTTGCAAAAACCCTCCCTCCAAGCTCCCTCGCTTCACAGTCTCCTGCATACAGGTACACTGTCGCTGCGCGAGGAGCCCCTGTGGAGGACAACCGTCTGACAATCTTCACCCGCGCCAGCGCGCCATTCCTGGGAGGACTCCAAGGCCGCGAATCAACGCTACTGTTGCGACCTGGCCGTCCTAAATCGGGCCAAAATGCAATTTCTCGTATTTCAACGCAGCAGATCAGCGTGACTGTCGCGCCCAGACAAGCCCACGCCGTGCCAGAACACCCTTCCCTAGTACGTCAGGCATGAGAATCTCTGAAGCGGCTGCAGGTGGTTGGGGGCGAGTGTGCCTTCTCTCCGCCCTCCATCCAGGAAGCTTCCTCAAGCACCTGCGACGGATGCGCGCGGCTTCAAAGCGAGAGCCACACTTTTCAGGAGGGAAAAAAACACAGACACAATTAATCGTCGATCCCCAGAAAAAAACATGGGAAAATATGGGAAGTGGGGGGGAAAACAGAAACCCAGAACATATGCGAAAATGTGGTGGATCCTTTTATATTTGTGTGTATTTGTTTGTGTGTCCTGGGGCCCCTTCAACTGTGGAGACAGGGGCCGCCCTTCCGTCCGCGACGCTCCCGCGAGCTTTTTTTATGGCGAGTGGGCGTCGGCGGCGGCGGGGCGCCGTCCGCCTGCGGAGCAGGCGCCGCTCCCCCCCCCAGCCGCGAGGCCCGCGCGAGCTTCTGTGCGGCGGCGCGTGTGCGCGGCGCGGCGGCGGGAGCCACGGTCTGCGAGGGAGCCGCCCTTCGCTCCGCGGAGCTCCTGCAAGTGTTTGAGTCGAGCGTGCGCGGCGCTACGAGGCGAGGGCCACGTGCTGAAAGCCGCCCGCCCCTCCCATCCGTGAAGCTCTTGCAGGTCCCGAGCTTCAGGACCATGCATGGCGAGGCTGTCTCAGGCGAGACGCCCAGCCCGCCCTAGTTCCCGACCCGTCTCGGGGTGCGACAGGGAGGAGCGATTTCTAAGGAAGAGGAATGGAGGCGGAGGAGGAGAAGGAGGAGGATGAGGACAAGGAGGAGGAGGAGGAGGAGGAGAAGGAGAAGGGAGAGTGAAGAGGATGAGGAACATGAGGAGGATGAGGAGGGAGACGAGGTTGCGTTCGACTCCCTCGACATCACCGTGGACGATGGTGGGCCGGCCGGGGAGAGCAGTACACCCTGCGACCAGCCTTCCTCTCCTCCCGCCCAGATTCTGGGGGCATCCTACGTCCACCACTCTCACTCCCTCCCTCTCTTCCCCTCTCTGCCTCCCCCTGCCTTTCCCCCTTCCCCCGGCCCTGTTTTCCCCTCCCTTGTTTCACTCCCCTCGCCTCCCCTCCCGGTGCCTCCCCTGCTCCCATGTCTTGCGTCCCCGTCGCTCCACTCCAGGAGAGGTCTGGGACGATTCTCGAGGGAGGGTGTACGGGCCGGAGTCGCATTTCGGGAGGGTCCAGGTGCTCCAGATGGGGTCTGGGGAGTTGTTGCAGGTTCTCGGAGGTTCTGCGTACGGCTTCCAATGGGGGGTGAGGAGAGGGAAGAGGATGAGAAGCTATTCAAGAAGGATGAGGCCGTGACACTGAAGAGGAGGATGAGGAGGGTGGTGTCTTCGACGAGGGGCACGAGGGGCTGTTCGAAGGGTGGAGGAGGAGGAGGAGGGAAGGAGGAGGAGGAGGAGGAGGAGGAAGAAGAAGAGGAGGAGACGTTCGTCGAGGTGGAGCAGGAGGGGATAGGGGGTCAACAGGTCCCCGAGAGGGATGCTCGCTGCGGACTTGGAGCGCAGCGCTCACCGCACACGCGGGCGCTGAGACAGATGCGGAGCGACCTCGACAACACCGTCACGCTTCGAGCGTGGCCTCGGAGCTCGCATCACATCGGACGGAGCCTGACTGCGGAGGCTGCATCTGGGTCTCCTGCGTTAGCTCGCTGCTCTCAGCGCTGCGCAGCCGCGCGCCGGCTTCGGCCAGATTTGGCGCCCCAGGGGGATCTGAGTAGAGCAGGGCTGGGAGGACCGGGGCGAATCTCTCCAGAGCGTTCTGGTCGGGGCACCAAGGACGGGGGTCAACGCACACGGGGGGTCAGCCAGGGTGGCGGATCGGCCAGGGCTTGCGCGCAGTAGCTATCTCGCAGGATCCTGCAGGATTTTGCAGGGCCCTGCAAATCCTGACTGGCGGCGGCTTGCATTGACCTGGGCCAAGTGCGTCCCCGAGCGCTGGACCCTCCTCCTGGGCGCCTCGGGCGCCGCCCCTGGCGCGCGGAGCGCGCCAGGGAGGGACGTCCAGCGCCGATCCGAGAAGTCCGCGCGGGCCTCCGAGTTCTTATGTTCATGCCATGATTCGTTCCCCTCAGCGCTCTGGAGCGGCCGCTGCGCCCGATACCATCCTCCAGAGCCGCCGGATACCAGAAGTCTTCTGGACCAGAGAGGCTGGCATGTTGCATCGACCAGAGGAGGAGGAGGAGGAGGAGGAGGAGCAGGAGGAGGAGGAGGAGGAGGAGGAGGAGGAGGAGGAGGAGGGGGAGGAAGGGCTTCCAGGAAGGGGAGGAGGAGGAGGAGGAAAAGGAGGAGGAGGAGGAGGAGGAGGAGGAGGAGGAGGGGAGGAGGAGGAGGAGGAGGAGGAGGAGGAGGAGGAGGAGGAGGACGAGGATGAGGAGGAGGAGGAGGAGCAGGAGGAGGATGCTGATGATGATGACGATGCTCATGATGACGATGACGATGGTGATGATGATGAGGAGGAGGAAGACCAGTGTAAATCCAAGAGGCATTAACGATGTTGGAATAAACCCTCCCTCCTAGCTTCCTCTTCATAGGCCCCTACAACGGTTCATTTCCGTTGAGGGAACTGCCTCGTTGGAAGGCAACCGTTTGAAGACCCTGCAGCATGCTAAAACATTGCTCTCCGGATTATAACGCGACAGATCAACCTGACTTGCGTGTTGACGATCCAGAATCGCGCCAGAACGCCATTCATGGGACTTCAACGCAGCGAACCAACCTAATTGTTGCGCCCGCGTAATCCTGAATCCTTTCACACACACTTTCTGGTGCGTTGGCGATGGGAATCCGTGAAGCTCGTGCAAATTTCAAAAACGGATTTGCGCCGCGCGAGGGCGAGAGCCACATTTTGAAAACCACCCTCAGTCCGTGAAGCTCTTGTCATTTGTACAACGGATGTGCGCCGCGCGGAGGCGATAGCCACATGTTGAAAACCACCCGCCCTCAATCCGTGAAGCTCTTGTCATTTCTACAACGGATGTGCGCCGCGCGGAGGCGAGAGCAACATTTTGAAAACCACCCGCCCTCAATCCGTGAAACTCTTGCCAGTTTTTGAATTCGAATGTGCGCCGCGCTGAGGCGAGAGCCACATTTTGAAAACGACCCGCCCTCAATCCGTGAAGCTCGTGAACATTTCATAAACGAGTTTGCAACGCGCTCATTCGAGAGCCACATTTTGAAAACGACCCGTCCTCAATCCGTGAGACCCTTGTAATTGTTTAGAAGGAATGTGCGCCGCGCTCAGGCGAGAGCCACATTTTGAAAACCACCCGCCCTCAATCCGTGAAGCTCTTGTCTTGTTTACAAGCGAATGTGCGCGGCGCTAAGGCGAGAGTCACATTTTTAGAACCACCCGCCCTCCATATGTGAAACTGCTGCCCATTTTTAAGCTTCAGATTCATGAATGGTGAGGAATTCTCAGGCGAAACGCCCTGCCCGCCCCAAAAGCTGGCCTCGGGGTGCGACAGGGAGAAGTTGTTTATGAGGAGGAGGAGGAGGAGGAGGAGGAGGAGGAGGAGGAGGAGGAGGAGGAGGAGGGGAAGATTGAGGAGGAGGAGGAGGCGCTAGGCGCGAGGCGTGAGGCGCGAGGCGCGAGCCCGAGCCCTGCCCCTCAGATCTCCCGGCGCTGCGCCGTGTTCTCACCGGGTGCCTCGCCGCTCCGGCGTCGGGCCCTGGGCCAGCGCTCACAGATCGATGCGGCTCGAGCGATGGCGCGGGGAGGTGGGGTCTCTGTCGCGATTCTTTTTTGGTTAGCAGCCGCAGGCGAGAGCGCCAGCGGCGAGTGAGGTCCGAGCGGGCCGCGCGGGGGCCTCATTACCTATAGCGCGGAGCAGAGCAGGACCTACCGCCGGGGGAAGCCTCAGCTCTGGGGCTGCAAGAGGTGCCGGGGGCGGGGGCTGCAAGCTGCCGGGGCTGCCACGGAGCTGCAAGCGTGCGACAGCCAAGCTGTCGCGATTCTTTGCGGTGCTCCCACTTTTTGGGCAGCGTCGGATCTCAGGGACAGCAGGTTCGCGTCGGGGCGACCAGCGGCGACTCCGCCGGCAGCGTTTCACGCCGGACGCCGCCAGAGACCCAGAAGCTGTCAATGCTGAAGGATCTGACGTTTCGGAGACGGTCGATCGTTCAAGGTTGAACGCCCCCCCTCGGTGTTCGGAACCAACGCCGGGGTCGACACGACCCGAACCTGCTGCACCTGCGTCAGCAGGGCCCGCCCCTCAGGCGCAACAGGCCCGCCCCTCAGGCGCAACAGGGTGAGGTCTGCGGGGGCCTTCCGCGGAGGTCCTCCCGAGGCCCCCACTCCAGAGCCTTACCCACAGCTCTGAGCCTCGAAGAGGTAATAGAGGAGGTGGGGGAGGTGGAAGAGGAGGGAGAGGAGCTCCTCAGGGAGGAGGAGGAGGAGGAGGAGGAGGAGGAGGAGGAGGAGGAGGAAGAGCTTCTCGTGTGGGGTGGGGGGGTCTGAGAGGGAGGCGTCATGGTGCTGCTACTTGACCTCGACGTCGGGTGTGTGCCCTCCTCCCGGCGAGCCGCGCTCGCTCCAGGGGCCTGGGGGTCCTGGGCAGGCTGGCTGGAGCCGCTGGTGCAGTGGGTCACGCAGTGCCAGTCGGGTGGCACGGGGCCTGCCGTGCCGTACCAGGTCATCCAGGACGACGCGTTTTCGCTATGCGGCGCCTCCTGCTTCTCCGCCATCTCCTTCTCCTCACTACCTCCTCCCCATCCTTCTCCTCCTCCTCCTCCTCCTCCTCCTCCTCCTCCTCCTTCCTCCCCCCTCCTCCCCCTCCCCCTCCCTCCTCCCCCTCCTCCTCTACCTCCTCATCCTCCTCATGTTCGTCCTCTCGCTCTCCCTTCTCCACCTGTCGTCTCTCCTTGTCTCCGTCCTCGTTCTTCTCCCCCCTCTCCGCTTCCACCTGCGTCTCCGCCTCTTCCGCCTGCTTCTCTTCCTCTTGGGCCCCTCCCCTCTGCTGTACTCCTTCCCCCTTGTTGTCTCACCCCTCCTCCTCCTCCTCCACCTCCTCCTCCTCCTCCTCCTCCTCCTCTTCCTCCTCCTCCTCCTTCTCGTCATTCCACCCTCCTCGTTCCTCCAGCTCCTCCTCTCCCTGGGACAATCCTGATGTGGGCTGGCGCTCAGCCGTCCAGCGGACACGCGAACCCACGTCTCCTCCTCTCTATCTCTCTGTCTGTCTTCTTCCCCTGCTGCTCTGTATGTTCGCCCTGCGTCTTCGGTTGTGTTCCTTCGTGCACGCCGGTTGCGTGTCGTTCTTAGTGGAGCACATTCGCTCGTGCTTCGCCGTCTGTCCGGGGCGAGGGTGACGCCCCTCCTCGCCCTCCTGGTCTTCCTCTGTGTTGCACGTGTGTGCAATCGTGGAGTGAAGCACCCGTCAAGACTTCCCTCCCTTCCTCATGCTCCTCCTCGCCTCTCCGATGTGTCTCCCTTCTCCTGCTATCCGACATCCCCTAGAGACCACTCAAACCAAACAAACGCCCATACCAGCCCTCCTGATCCTCCGAATTGCATGCTAGTCCTCATCTCATCACCCTTGAAGGCAATTGTGAATGCAAAGAGGTAGGAGCATTAGGGTCAGTGAAGTGTCCAGCGAGAGCCTTGCTTTGAACAAGGAGCCCTCACTGATCTATGTGACTGTTCACGTGCTTACAGATCTGGTCAGATGCTGAGGGGAGACAGCGATTTGGAGAAAGCCGCCGCCCTCCATACATGAATCTTCTGAGCATGAAATTTGATTGCGGGCACGAGAAGTGCAACGTGTGACGGCCGCGTGGACAGCGCCCGAAGAATCGCCACACGGAGTGTCTCGCTGGAGCGGTCATCGCTTCACCGCGGGCACCCGGATGCCTCCCAGTTCCTCTTGCCGCCAAGCGTGCTGGTGGGTCGGGTCGGGCGTGTCGCCTGAGACCAACGATGACACAGATAGGGGGCTGGTTGTTGTCAAGATGTGGCTCTCGCCGCAGCGCCGCGCACATTTGTAGCGAAGTTCCCCAACAAGTGCATCCATGGAGATCGGGTGAATTTCCAAATGCGGTGTTCGCCTCATGGCCGCGCACGTTTCTCTTGCACGCTCCCACCAATTAAACGCATGGGTGGGAATCGTGTTCAAATCGTGGCACTCGCCTTAGCGCCGCGAACGTTCTTTTTGGATGCTCCCAACAGGCATACAAGGTGAGAGCAGTTTGCTTTCAAAGTGCGGAGGCCCTTTGGGCCATCTTGGGGCTGCCTTGAGCTACCGTGGGGCAGTCCTGGGGGCCTCTTGGGGACGTTCTTGGGTCGCCTTGGCACCCTCCGAAGCTGCCTCGGGGTCCAATCGAGCCGTCTTGAGGCTCTCTTGGTCGTCTGGGGGGTCTCTTATGGGGGCCAGCTTGGGGCTTTCCCTGGGCTGCCCCGTGCAGACAAGGTTCCCATAGTTGGGGCTCTCAGTTGCCTCGAGTGAGCCTCCGAACACCGCAAGTGGATCGATCCCATGGCCGAGGAGCGTGGAGGGCGAAGCACATGCCCCAAACCTCGTAGAGGCTTGAGGAGGAGGGGTGGCTACACGGTGGCGGATCGGGCGACGAGATCTGTCCACTGCCCCTGGCCAGGCCCATCCTCCTCCTCCTCCTCCTCCTCCTCCTCCTCCTTCTCCTCCTCCTCCTCCGCCTCCTCCTCCTCCTACTCCTCCTCCTCTCCACCTCCTCCTCCCCGCCTCCTCTCGCCTCCTCCTCCCCTCCTCCTCCTTCTCCTCCTCCTCCTCCTCCTCCTCCTTCCTCCTCCTCCTCCTCCTCCTCTCCTCTCCCACCTCGCCATCTCCTCTCACTCCTCCTCCCTCACTCCACTTCTCCTCCCCCTCCTCCCCCTTCTCCCCCCTCCTCTCCTCCTCCTCCTCCTCCTCCCTCCTCTCCTTATCCTCCTTATCCTCCTTATCCTCCTCCTCATCCTTCTTCTCATCCTCCTCCCCTTCCTCCTCCTCCCCCTCCTCCCCCTCCTCGTCCTCCACTTCCTCCTCCTCATCCTCCTCTTCCTCCTCCTCCTCCTCCTCCCTGGCTCCAGGAAAGGTGCCTAGATGCCTCCCTGTCCACGCCAGGTTGGCGCAGTCACACACGGCGCCCGGGCCAAGGGTTTGGGCCTTGCCAGGGGCGGTGCATGTGCGAAGGTCTCGTCGCCATGGCGGCTGAATGCGGAAGTGAGGCGGAGGAGCAGCAGAGGATGCGGTTGGGGAGGAGGTGGAGCAGGAGGACGCGGACGGGGAGTAAGAGGAGGAGACGGAGGAGGGAGGAGGAGGAGGAGGAGGAAGAGGAGGAGGAGATGAGGAGGAGGAGGATGAGGAGGATGAGGAGGAGGCCCCCGACGGGGAGGAAAATGATGAGACGGAGGAGGAGGAGGTGGATGAGGAGGAGGAGGACAAGGAGGAGGAGGAGAACCAGTGTAAACCCAAGAGGCATCAACGATGATGGAATACACCCTCCCTCCAAAATCCTTCGTCATAGGCCCCTACAACGGTTCATTTTTACGGAGGAAGCGGCCTCGTTGGAAGACAACGAAGACCTTGAAGCATGCCGAGACATTGTTCTTGGGATTCCAACGCCACGGATCAGCCTGACCGTTGCGTTTACACGATCCGGAATCGTGCCAGAACGCGATCCCTGCAACTTGAGCATCGCGAGTCAACATGACTTGTGCACCCTCGTAAGCCTGAGTCTTTCCAGAACACCATTTATGTTACGCTGATCATGGGAATCTGTGAAACCCTTGCAACTGTTTAAGACGAGTGTGCGCGGCGCTACGGCGAGAGCCACATTCAATATACAACGACTCGCCTTCAATCCGTGAAACTCTTGCACAGATTGAAGACGAATGTGTGCGGCGCCAATGCGATAGCCATATTTTGAAAACGACTCGCCCTCAGTCCGTGAAGCTCTTGCGACTGTTTAAGACGAATGTGTTCGGTGCTACGGCGAGAGCCACATTTTGAAACCACCCGCCCTCCATCTGTGAAACAGTTCCCATTGTTCGAGCTTCAGAGTCATAAGCGGTGAGGAAGTCTCAGGCGAAACGCCCGGCCCGCCCTAACAACTGGCCTAGGGGTGCGACAGGGAAAGGTTATTCATAAGGAGAAGGAATGGAAAACAAGGCGGCGGCGGAGGACGAGGAGGAGAAGGAGGAGGAGGAGGGTGAGGAGGAGGAGAAGGAAGAGGAGGAGGCGGAGTGGCCCGCAGGAGACCGCGGGGGTAGCCATGACCAAGAACTTCGCCCCCCCCGAGCTGCCGTCCGTCGTGAACGTCGAGGCGCGTACCGCGTAGCCGCCCATCGCAGGGCCTCTGCTCGATCCTCAGACTTCGTTCAGAAGCGCTTGATCATGTCCCTCTTCACCAGCCGGGTGGTACACAAGTAGCCATAGCGAAGCAAGTAGGGCAAGAAGAAGAGGAGGTACATACTGAGCCATTCTCAGCACGGGTGCTGGCAGTGACGAACACTACGATGAGGATGTGAAAACCGCATCAGCTGTCACCCGAGGGTGACCGCCTCGCCTGGTCTCGCCCTCCAGCCTCTCGTGGACGAAGCGATGATGGTTCTGCTTCTGCCTCCCTCCACTCCCCAGGGTGGCCTCCTCCTCCTCCTCGCCTGTCCTCGGGGTGGACGCCAGCTCCCCCTCCTCCTGCTTGCCTCGCGTCAGGGTGGCTGCTGCTGCTGGCGTTGCTGCCTCCCTCTCCTCCTCCTCCTCCTCCTCCTCCTCCTCCTCCTCCTCCTCTCCTCCTCCTCCTCCTCCTCCTCCTCCTCCTCCTCCTCCTCCTCCTCCTCCTCCTCCTCCTCCTCCTCCCTCATTCCCTCCCCTCCCTCCTGCTGATGCGGCGGCGCCCTCAGGCTCTGGCCTCTCGAGTCCTCTGCTGGCGCTCATCTGTACGAGCAGAGATGCGTGCTGCTGTGGGTCGCCACCACCGCCGCCACTGGCTCTGGGGGCGGATTGGTCGTCAGCGCCGCGGGCTGGCCGATTCCGCTGCTGAAGGATCGCGGCGCTGGTGACGGCCATCAGCTCGAGATGCTTCTGGAACTGCTTCATGGCTGCGGGGTCGCCGGAGACTTTCCACGCCATCCTCTGTGAAAGAGCTGAAGTAGGCACTGTGGAGCCCAGACGACGGAGCGTCGTGGCTTGCCATCGCCAGAAATCGTGTACCATAGTAGCCGACTCCCGCATGCATCCCGAACATGGAGGGGACTGTTCAGGGTCTGCTTCATCGCGCGCCTTGTGGTTCCTGTAGATCCGCTTTCGAATGAACAGCGCCAGCAAGAGCTGTGATTGCGTGGGAGTCTGGTGCTGCCTTCAGAGAAATTTGCACCTCTTTCAGGGCCTTCCCTGGAAACTGCACATCCTCAGCTCGTGCCATCTGGGTCCTCTCTGTGAGTCTGCCCTTCGCAGGCCTCCCGCTTGTGAACCACCTGCTGCGACGCTCCCTCTTCACCCGTCGAACCGCAGTCAGCTCGAACCAGCAGGCCGAACGCCTCTGTCAGCAGCTGGGGGCGGTCTACGTTCCTGCCGCTCATGTTCAGCGCGTCGAGCGCCTTGACGGGCGCGTCCAGTGCTGGCCCTGAACTGATGGACGTGTTTTCCACCACCACCACCACCATAAGTTGGAGGGGGGGGTCCTCCTCCTCCTCCTCCTTCTTCTCCTCCTCATCTTCGTCCTCCTCCTTCCCCCCTCCAACGTATGGTGGCGGTGGTGGTGGAAGGCAGGCTCATCGTGAACTGCGTCGGCTGGCAGCCCTGGCACCTGCAGTGCGATGCCGCAGCGCGTCCAACCCCTACAAAGCAGACCGCACCGCCCTGCCCCGCTGCGATGCCTCACCGCGCCCAGCCTGCACAGAGCAGAGGCCGCACCGCCCTGCCCCCGTTGCGCCAGCGGCCGGAGCGCGTCGCCTCTGCCGTGGTGGGCCTGGGCGGGGCTGGCCGCCACAGCACGCGCTCAAAGGCAGCCCGGGGGAAGGAGGGCGCGGCAGAGGGGCGAGCAGCCGGCGAGGGAGGAGGAGGAGGAGGAGAAGGAGGAGGAGAAGGACGAGATGAGAGGGAGACAGGCGTGCAGCACGCAGGAGGAGGATGTTCAGGGTGAGAAGGAGGGTGAGGATGATGATGATGAGGAGGAGGAGGAGGAGGAGGAGGAGGAGGGAAACGAGGAGCGGAGGGATTAGCAGGAGGAGGCGGAGGAGGAGCAGGTAATAGTGATGATGCAGATGATGATGTTGATGATGAAGATGATGGTGATGAGACGATGGTGATGATGATGCTGATGCTGATGACGATGCTGGTGATGATGACGACGGCGACGATGGTGATGATGATGATGATGATGATGATCACGATGATGATGCTGATGATGATGATTATGCTGACCATGATGCTGAGTGTGCTGATGATGGCGATTATGCTGATGATTGTGTTGATGATGATGACGAGAATGATCATGCTGATGATGGCGATAATGGTGCTGATGGTGGTGGATGGTTATGATGATTTTGATGAATATTATAATGATGATGCTGCTTACGATGATGGTGCTGATGGTGGTGGATGGCTATGGTGATAGTGATGGTGCTGATGATGCTGACAATGATGATGATGATGCTGATGACGCTGGCGATGACACTGACGATAACGACGGCAATGATGTTTGTGATGACGCTGATGCTGCTGATGATAATGCTGCTGATGGAAAATATGATGGTGATGATGATGATACTGATGATGATGATGATGATGATGATGATGGCCATGATGATGATGATGATGATGATGATGATGATGATGATGATGATGATGATGATGATGATGATGATGATGATTATGATGATGATGATAATGATGATGATGATGATGATCATGATGCGGTTGATGATGAGGAGAAGGAGGAGGAGGAGGAGGGGGGAGAGGAGGAGTAGAAGGATAAGGAGGAGGAGACGGATGAGGAGGAGGAGGAGCAGGATCATGGTGATGATGATGATGTTGATGATGATGATGATGATGCTGATGATGATGATGATGATAGTGATGATAGTGGTGATGATGCTGCTGATGATGATGATGATGATTTTGATGATGCTGATGATACTGCTGATGATGATTATGATGACGATGGTAACGATGTTGATGAGGCTGATGATGCTGATGGTGATAATGTTGCTGCTGATGATTTCGCTGGTGCCGATGACGATAATGATGGTGCTGGTTGTGGTGTACGATGGCGATGATGATGATGCTGATGATGCTGATCATGTTGATGATGATGACGATGACGATGATGACGATGATGGTGCTGATGATGCTGATGAGGATGATGTTGACGACGATGATGGTCATGGTGATGATGATGGTGCTGATGATGATGGTGATGTTGACGATGGTGATAATGCTGATTCTGCTGCTGATGATGATGCTGATAATAATGATGATTCTGAGTATGATGGTGCTGATGCTGATGATGATGGTGATGATGACGAGGAGGAGGAGGAGGAGGAGGAGGAGGGTGAAGAGGAGGAGACGGAGGCGGAAGTGGAGGAGCGGACGGATCAGGAGATGAACGAGGAGGCTAAGGAGGAGGCGGAGCATGACGCTGATGATGATGACGACAATGGTATTGCTGATGCTGATGCTGATTACGATAGTGCTGGTGGTGGTATCGGATGGTGATGGTGACGCTGATGGTGATGATGAGGATGGCGATGATGGTCATGCTTATGACGATCACGATGCAGATAATGATTGTGATGATGACCGTGACGATGATAATGATGATGGCGCTGATGATGCTGATGATGAAGATGATGGTGATATTGCTGATGATGGTGAGGCTGATCATGAGGGTGAGGATGATGATGAGGACGCGGATTCGTATGAGGATGTGGGTGAGGATAGGGAGGAGGAGGAGGAGGAGGAGAAGGATCCTAATCCTGATGATGATGCTGGTCAGAGTGATGATGTGGATTATGAATATGATGCTGATCGCGATGCTTATTGTGATGATGCTGATTATGATGATGACGCCGGCAACGATGCTGATGATGATTCTGATTATGCAGAGGATGATGACGATGACGATGTCGATGACGAAAATGATCATGATGACGATCATGATACTGATGCTGCTGATGATGACGAGGATGATTATGATCATGTTGATGCTGATGATGATGGTGAGGATGATTTCGGTGGCGACAACGAAGATGGTGATGACGATGATGATGCTGATGATGATGGGGCTGATGCTGGTGATGATGATGATGGTGATGCTGATACTGATCTTGATGACGCTGATGTTGATGTTGATACTGATGGCGAGGGTGATGGAGATGGTGATAGCGATGATGATGAGGATACTGCTGCTGATGATGATGTTGACGATTACGTGGGTGATGACGATGACGATGATGCTGCTGATGATGACCATGCTGATGATGATGGTGATGATGATGAGGATGACGAGGAGGAGGAGGAGGAGGAGGAGGAGGAGGATCAGGATGTCGATGATGATGATGATGATGATGATGATGATGATGATGATGATGAGGATGAGGATGAGGATGAGGATGAGGATGAGGATGAGGATGAGGATGAGGATGAGGATGACATGGTGGTGGTGATGATGCTGATGATGATGCTGATGATGCTGATGATGATGAGGAGGAGGTGGAGGAGGATGAGGAGGAGGCGGTGGCGTGGGCCGAGGATTTGCCTTTCTTCCAAATCCAATATGACACCTC